CATGCCATTAGAAAGAGGATCATGAAAAACCTATAAAAAAATGGTTCATGAAATTTTAGTTCACTCATAAAGCTAAAGTCCGCCTGCTCTAGCAAAAAATGCCCACTGTGTGGTGTCTTAATCGCCTATATTTTCATATTATTATCTAATCTTGCTACAAACACCCAAACACGAGAGTAGAACTGAATTATTCTTTAAACATATTTAAAATACAGAAATTTAGTGAATAAATGTCATTTTTATGTAGAGGAGTAATTAATTCTTTTTTAATTTATCATTATTATAGTATATTCAGTGCATTAGCAATCATTAGCAATAGACACACAGCAACTTGGATTGCTTATGTCAAAATGGCGATTGTCATATTAGGTAAGCATTATTTTCAACTAGTTTACATTCTGTAGTTACATATTTGATTGATAGAACTTTTCATTAGCACTGCTCTCTTAATGGATCTATGACCTTTGAATTTATGTTTATTATTTTTTATTTAGAATTTATTGAAGGAACTGTCCATGCATTTTTTATTCTTATTGCTTTACGTAAACGTTTAAATCGAACGAATAAGAAAAAATATCCTGCACGTGAAATAATTACATTATTAATAATGATTGATTTAAGTTTATGGTTTGAAGCAACAACAACAACGACAAAACATGAGGCAAATCCATTTCAACTGGACTTTTATCACATCATACCGTGGTCAATTATTGCTGCGATTGCCACACCATTGCAAATATTTTTTCGTTTTCATTCATCTGTATGCTTATCTCACGTCTGGGAAAATATGTACAAGACAAGCGATGAATCCATCGATCATCATTGAATATGAAAATAAAACCTTTTATCTATCTAAGTTACCTTTGATTGCTCTACATCCCTGCAAAAAAAAAGAAATTTTTTTGTATTTTGATAATATGCTCAATTTTATATAAAAGTACATCTGATTTTTACTCTCTAACTTTCTTTCTTTATCTCTGTTCAATGACGATGTTGAAATACAATAAGTCAACCATATTCAACTTTTATATTCTATTTGTTATATATAGTTGTTATCCGAGTAAGATATTTTATATTTACTTCTATTTTTTTGTGAACTTTTTTCACTAATTTGTTTTTTACATTTTGTTGTAGGTAAACTTATTAGAATTGATTCAATTGTTTACGTAGAGAGTTTAGAGGTGGTGACGTTTTTATTGAATAATCATAACACTTTGATATATTTGTGTGGTAGAATAGAAGGAATAATAATGTACATTTATTATGGTCCAACGCACACCGCAATATAAAATGTATTAGAGCAACATTTTTCATATTCTTTGCACTCTCCATTAGTATCGCAATTATAAATATTGTAAACATGTCACCATGTACTCAATCATTGTATGGAATTTTGTGAAGGGTATCTTCCATTTTCTGGAATACTTTCTTTTGATTTAATACAATGTTTATAGCATGATTAACATCTCTTGCCATTGGACTATAACAACATTTGAAACCATTTACACTGATGGTACTGTCAATACAAAATACTTTACGAAATTGTATTTTTCAACATTATTTGTTGATAATAATTTAATAAATGGAAAGATTACTAAATAAAATTATTCTAGAAAACATTGCGTCCTTCCAGTAAATAGAATATAGTAAAGGGACGGACATATCAGAAGACCTCCCTAGAATAGAAGACCCCCTTGAGTGAGCGAAGCAAAAGGCAGATCAGAAGATTCCCTTAACAAGGGTTGAATTTTTGCGCTCCTGTGAATATGCATTTCTGTAGCTGAAGCGCAAAAATATTAATTAATATAGTTGCTTCGATGCTTCCCCCGTTAAACCAGGTCATATACCCTGATATAGATTTGATCCAAGTTGTGCCAAATCAGATCAGTCAAAGGCACATGACGAGAAGCGTGATTCTCCATTGCCAAATTTTCTACGAGAGTAGTCTCAACAAAACACGTAGTTTTTATTATTTTTAAAAGAACAGTGAAAAACACGTTCTTTTAAATCGTTTTTTGACAAAGAATATTCATCCGATGAACCTAAAATTACGTTCAAGTCCAACCAACAATAAAACGAAAACCAACGCGTTTTGTTCAGAAGCGTTTAAAGGGGTTTTCTTCTCAAACAGTCAAGAAAATGGAAGGAAACGTCAGTATTTTGGTATCTGTGCAATGTTCAACACCGACTTGTCTGGAAGACGCCGACTTATGCTGATGCAGTTCATAAGACCGTTACTGAGTGACATAGCCCAGGCCAAACACAATGAGCTAGGAGTGCATCGGTTCGGTTAACCGATGTTTCGGTTAAACCGAAACCGAAATAACCGACGAAATTTTATAATGTGCTCAGTTTTGATTGTTACTGTTCTAATTTTCAAAATTTGGATAAACTGAAATCAGAATTGCTGATTTTTCGCGCAGATGTGATTTAGATAGCATTACTTAAAATATTTCTAGTTTAGAATTAAATTATATGTCGATTAGCATCTTTGAGAAAGCCATTAATTAGACAAAGAAAAATGACTAATTTTAAGTGAGAAAAATGCACTGCTTCTTCATACCAAGAAAGCATTTTCAAGACTCGCTGCTTGATGAAAAATGCAAGATGCACGTAATGCAAACTTACAGTGGAATTTATTGTTCAGCTTATTATATACCATTCGATAGAGCTTCTCAAGCAGATCAAGAATGTGTAGTTTTTAATTTTTCGAGACTTTCTTTTCGTGTCGAAAAATCAGATAAACTCGAAGAGTCTAAAAACTCGAAAAAACGACGATGCTCGAAAAAGTTAGATTTTTCTACTTGGGTTTTTAGTCTGAACGTTCAAACTATTTTTTTCTTGTTCAGCGTTAAAAGCTAAATTAAAAAATGATATGAAATCCATTTCGAAGGTAAATGCCTGTCCGCCATGGACGTTCGAACGGACCACTGGAAAAGAAGAGTGAGTCATTTTGTAAACCTGTCTAGATTTTTGTGTGAGTCATAGAAACTTTCATTTGCACATCAATAGATTCTCTTGATGTTCGGCTTTAAACGTATGTCGAGCTTTTTTTCAAATTCTGTTTCGTTGCTGAGAAAATTCATTTTTTCTAAATGAGAGCCGAAAAAGTCGGAATTCTGCCCGTAATTCTCAATTTTCTCGATCAAAACTCAACTTTTTAGCAATAAAAATACCACATTCGGAATCAGGATCAAAAACTGAGTCAACTGATGTGTATTTCTATCCTATGCGACTACTTTAATGTTTTTCGAATTCTGGATATACAATCATTGGTACCGCGTGTGTTGTACAATTAAGAGAGGGAGGGTCTCTGGAAAACCTACAGCAAAACATCGCGGAATTTCACACACTACACTCGAATTTTCAGTTTTCAGTCATTCATTGATCTATCACATGTGTCTTTGTATCAAAGTCTTGATTCAAAATAAAATTTTACAAGAGCGTATCACGAAATAAAAAAGATCTGCTCTTTTGCCCATCTACACAAGAAAAAGAAAACTGTTCTACAAATACAAATTTAAGTTTAAATTTGTATTTGTACTTTATTAAATTAACTGGGATTTGTTTGTGTCTGTTGTAGACGTGCGCAAATATAGTGAACAGTCCTTTCCAAATATGATAAATTTGATGAATGACTGAAAACTGAAAATTCGAGTGTAGTGTGTGAAATTCCGCGATGTTTTGCTGTAGGTTTTCCAGAGACCCTCCGAAGACCAGCTCAAAAGCCTTGAAATGACTTGCATTAGATTTGTCATCATTTTTAAGGTATATACCATGACTCTGATGCGATTTGAACCGAAATTCAAGGTTTTAGGAAAAAATCACTTAGCCAATTTTGGGCAAAACGCGCCGTTTTTTAATGTTTATTTTTTTTCCCTACGCTGAAGAACAAATTCAAAAATGTACACATATAACTTTATTCTAAATTTCATGGCAAACCCTTTTGTTTTCGACACCGCGTGCCATCCGTAAAATAGATTAAAACTGCGGTTCCACGCGTTTCTTTTGCAAATCGCGGTCCCTCGTAATGCCTAGTTTCTCGCGGTTCTAAACGCAACCCGTGAGTATTATTTTCGCATACAAATTCGCTTTCATCAAAAAAACGCCGTATGTATCCGTTTTAATCGATTAAAAAGTATCTCTTTTGAGAAACGAATATTTTGGCAAGAAACTGCGTTTCTCAAAAGAGATACAATTAATTATAGATTCTCTCATTTCTATATTACAAATAAAAATGAAATTAAATAAGAGCTAGAAGCAATCAAGATTATCTTAAGTGGTAATTAGTACTTATTGTTAAAAAAAAAATTATTTTTCAAAAAGAAGTTAATTTGCCAACTGTTTGTAAACCGTAAACGTCAACTATTGTTTCGAAATGTTTATAAATAATACTGCTCAAAGCAATGTTGTCTCACTCTTCAAAAAACTATCATGGATCTTGTACGAAAGCGAAGTCTAATATAGTCTGCCATATAGTTCAAAAAATCTTTTTCGATATCTACGTATAGAGAAGCTTACAAGCTATCCAAAATTAATTCCAAATCCTTTCCCTCTCGTATAAGTGTTAATGAATAAATGTGACAACGTGCCACACATTTTTGTCAGTGACTTTTCAGGCTCTTAAGGGTATCCTCTCCCCCTTGTTGCAAAATGCGGAGCACACGTTCGATTGAGTTCCAATTCATAGCGGGGATAGAACATCAAAAAAGAAAATCGATATATTTTTGCCCAGAGTTTTCTGAGATATTCTTATATGGGTTTTCTGGAAAGCTTCAGTTTCCATCGGGTCACATTACGACCCCTCGAAAAAATGGTCCAATCGAGCTTGAATTTTTACCACAGGTACCTCAGACCCTATCTCACAATGTAAATTGTTTTTTTCTAAGAAACATGCTTTCCTTCTCGAGATATATAGAATACACACACATCTACTTAGCTGTTTGTATACGTCACGTTCAAAAAAGAGAACGCGGATAGAAACATGAAAGAATATATAATAAGGTATGGATATACCAATATGATCACATATTATGCGATAATTACGGTGACCGTTTAAGGACGGTAATTGTTTTGATCCCGTAAAAAATGTAGAGCGGAGCCCATATACTAAAATTTCGATAAAAATAGTAAAAATGATCCCGGATTTAGAAAAAAATATTTTCGACAGAATTGATCCCGGAATAAACTAATTTTTATATTTATTGTACAGAATTGATCCCGGAAAACTTTCTGCGTTCTTTCTGCGAACAAGAGAATTGATCCCGGTTGACGTGTGTAGTGGTCACATAAGATCCTCTTTCCCAAAGTTTTCCGCTGATTTCTATATACTATATTCAATTCATACTCGCATAGCGGATATTTTCAGTACTGTGAACATTTATATGTAATTGATAAACAACCAATGAATTGTTCAGTTCGATTTTTGCAGACACCTTGAGTTTTACCAGTCAGAAACGCGTCTAGTAACAGTTTCTGTTTGTTATTCACCAAGTAGCAAACCCTCTCCTGCTTACGGGACAAGGCTGATCTAAATGTTGTTTGATTACTCACTCTCAACCTACTACCACCCCACCACTAGAGACCTGCAACCCGACCCTAGGGTCGGGTCGGGTTCGGGTTAAGATGTTGTCGGGTCGGGTCGGGTTCGGGTTAAGATGTTGTCGGGTCGGGTCGGATTCAGGTTGAATATTTGGCGACGCAATTTAAAATATAAATAATATTTTTAGCTTTGTATTACTGGTTGAAAGTTATCTCTACTGGAATTTCCAGTTGAAAGACTTGTTTCAGAACAACTGCATTCACTAAGTCGATTAATGATTGCTTTCTTTGCACATAAGAGAGTGCTTCCTGCACTGAAATTAATGGTAATACATCCCTTACTGCTTTTTTTCAATGTACTGTTTTAAACACCCGTACATAGAAGACTTTACTATAATGCTCTCTACTTGCTATCTTAGTATGACGTGATAATGACTGACCAATGAGAAAAAGAATGTGATCATCATCTCGGTTAAGATAATCTATTGACAAAGTGCACTGAGGAATTTTCAATAGATTAACCTTTTAGACAAAATGACCAACCAGTAGCCGTTCAAAAAATTTTTTTTGAACTACGAGATTCTACAATATGCACCGAAAATCTTTTGTCTAACAAGACAAGTCTATATTTTTTTTCAAACACGGTTATCTGGTGAGATTGTTTTCATCGGGTCGGGTCGGGTGCGAGTCGGCATTTTGGCAGTCGGGTCGGGTTCCGGTTAGGTTTTCTTAACCCGTGCAGATCTCTACCCACCACCCACAATGCTCTCACCCCTTCCACTGAAGTAGATGCATATACCTCTCGCCTAGCTTTCCTACTTTTCTAATTTCGTGCTTTTCTGACTTCCCAGTTTCCTACTTTCGCGTTAAGTTTCCGCTCGATGTTCTAGATTTACTATTTGGAATTTTTTAGTTTGCGGTAAATTCTGCAAATTCTCTTACTTAACAATTTGTCCCAAACGCAAACTGTGATCCTGTGCTTTACGCGAACGACCTTATTTCATTTTGCCACAATTCGAACTGAACTCTAACAACGTTTTAAATGATGTATACTGACTACAAAGAAAAGGAAACACATTACACGTGTACAAACTAGGGGTGGCACTTTCTCTTTCCTACCTCCTTTTTTTATTAACAAAAGAAAAGTTTTTCTTTTTCTTTACAACAAAAAAGAGTAAAGATATAATGCATATCTTTTCTTTCCTAAGAAAAAGAAAACTGGCACCTTATATCTTTTCTTTTTGCAAGAAAAAGACTTTCTTAAAAGGTGCAAAAAAAAGTCTTTTTCTTGCAAAAAGAAAAGATACTGCTTTTCTTTCTTTTGGAAAAGAAAAGGTGCCTCTTTCCTTTTTCTTAGGAAAGAAAAAGATACACATTGTATCTTTACTCTTTACTTTTGAAATAAAAGATACCACTTTATCGTTACTCAGGAAAGGAACGGGAAAGTGCCACCCTAGTACAGACTGGAGGCCTGCAGATTACGACTTTCGGACAACCTATAAACTAACCTGTATGTACATCTCTATTTCTATTTTTAAAATTGAAAATATGACTTTTATGTAACATCTGAACTTACTGTACTAGAGAAGAATAGAACCCAACTTAAAACTTTAATTTATACGGTTGAATGTTTTTTCTATAAAAACCGCTATAAGTATATATATATGTGCTTGTTTATAATATTGTTCGTGGTGCCATAGAAAATAAAATTTTTATTTATTGCGACGCGTTTCGTTTTATTTAAAAATAAAACTCATCAGGCAATTATTTTGATCTAGAACACACACGAAAAAATAAAGGAAAAAAATAAAAAATAGTAAAGGAAAAACTTAAAAAGACACACACACAAATAAAAATAGTTTAGTATGGGCTCTAGGCCCAACTAGTTTTAACCGAGACGCTTCATGTCGTCTGCCAAATCCTTGATGTCGGTTGTCTCATCCATTTGTTTTCGCAACCAGTACCGGTAGTACATCATCATTATCATTGTCATCTTCATCTGTGAGCGATGAAGTAGACTGCTGATGTTGCTGATGTTGATTTTGCTTTTGCTCTATCACCATTATTTTTGCCGCCGTTACTATTCGCTTTTGGCGTTCGCGCTGTTTTCGATTTAGCAATATTTTTCGTTGCTGACGTTCGTGTCTGACAGGCATGGTTGTTGTCGAGCTCACCGGACGTATACGTTCGGATGGCGGTGAATGACGAGATGGAGCGGCCGTTGAGCTCAGCTCTCTCTCTCGTTTTGAAAAAGATGATGATGGGCGGCGGTGACTCGCCGACTCATAACTCCGACAATGATAATGATGATGCTGTCGTTGTGATGAAAAATGGTGTTGCTGCCGATTGTGGTCGGTAGCAATTCCATGTCGGATCGATCGATCATACGGAGCTACCCTGAATTCTCGACGATTTCGACTCGAGTTTCCAAAAACTCTGTCGTTTCGCCGGTATTCGGAGCCACGGCTGTATGAGCGATTCTCCCAAACTGGCTCGGCTTTGCCCCTATGTGATCCATCGGTTGTCTGTCTAGATTGGGCATCTGGAGCACAGATGTTCGGCGGAGCACCATCGGAGTAGAAAGCCTACGAGTTTGGCACCCATAGACCAAAACTCCCACTTCCATATAGACCAAAACTCCCACTTCCGTCCTTATACAGACGAAAATTACCAGCCGATGTCGTACGGGTTAGTTCAGTGCTAATCCAGATGACTGAATCAGTGCCTGACCCTTGTATCAATTGTGCGGCTTGGAGTGGAGCTGTAGGGTCCGTGTTGTCGATGCCAAACACTCCGAGTGCCTTTGGAGCGCCTCGAGTGTCTGTAGACAATGGTTGTTGTTGTTGTTGTTGTTGTTGGTTTGATGCTGACATGTTCAAAGAATAATAAGGCGAGTATAAGACAAATGAATGAATGGTGCATAAACGAGAGGTGGATGACTATTTATAGTAAGTATCATTCCCTCGTATTTTTCTGCACAATGATTCTAAGACAAAGAGTCTATTTTATTTCGTCCATTTGAGTCTCTCATTCTCTTGTCTAATGAATCCTCATTCTTGTATATACAAAACTTGAGATACCTCGATTATTCATATTATCTCTTTATCTATAATTAAATCTTTTGACAAAGAGATGAAATAAATAGATGAACAATGAAATTGTTTTACGAAATGCGGTCTGCTTGATTTCTTATATGTATCGTCTGGTAAATTCTAGATTTTATATACTGACTACAAAGAAAAGGAAACACATTACACGTGTACAAACTGGAGCCCTGCAGGTTACGACTTTCGGACAACCTATAACCTAACCTGTATGTACATCTCTATTTCTATTCTTCTCTAGTACA